AAGAGTTGAAAAATAAGTGAGAATGAACTCACAAGTGTTGGTTATTGAAGGAAGGGTCCAAGAAAAAGTAAATTTAACCCTAAGTGTTGCATGAATCTTCCCTTGTGTGTAAAAGTTGATTTCTGCCATTTGAAGAGAGTTTAAGTGTCAAATTCATTACTTTGCTTACTATTGCTTTAAGAACTTTTGTTTATCCTTACCTTTCTTTGTTAGCCAATACCTCAGCCTCGTTACAACCCTCGACTTCTATCTTGATGTTATGTGTTCAATATGTGGAGTTTGAATTTGGTATGAGCATATGGAATCACTGGTTCTCGTTCTAAGTAGTAGCATTCCATTTATGAGATCATAATCATGTCATTGTCATAAATCTAGAAAATGCTTTCTTTGATATAACATATGTGAGTGTTAGTCTTCATATCTACATCAATCTTCTCACATATACCTAGTGTAGGGTGTGAAGTTAGAAAATCTGTGTGAAAATAGAGTGCATTCTAGTGAGGAATTGAGGGAATTCTCTAAGGCATGTTACTACATTCAAAACATTGTTTTAATTGATTAAATGTGAACTAATAAGTAGTAACTATGATTAAGTGTTTGTTGAAGTGTAAAGAAAGCTAAAAACCGTGGGAATGATGTTCTTTAATGTGTCATGATTCGTTGGAAATCCCTGAGGTACATGTTGGAAGGTCTAGAATGTGTTTTGTTTGTTTTGTTTATTTCGTTTTGCTCAAGGACTAGCAAAAGCTAAGTGTGGGGGAATTTGATAGGAGCATATTTATGCTACTTAGTTATGTTGTTTCCTTGCATTTAGTGAGTTAATTACTATGTATTTCAGTCTTTGAAGTTATTTTCGTATTTTTTTAGGTCCTAATGGCAAAAGGAGCAAGAAAATGCATTTTAAGGCTATTTGGAGCATTTTTTGGCATGGATTGGATAGCTTAACCATGGAGTAAAGAAGATGGACAAAATTGAAGTCAAGAAGGACTAGGAAAGGCTACAAATCTGGTGGAGGAAGTCCTAAAGCAAAGAAGATAAGGAAATAGCAAGAAACAAGGAACCTTATCCAACCTTATCTTACCCTATCCTATCCAACCTTATCCTTTCCTAACTCTAACATTATCCTATCCTATCCTATCCTATCCTATCCAAATCAGGTTAGGACTTAAACCTAGCTAATTAGAGGGGATTAATTACATATTTGAATACCTATTTCAGTTTCTAGAAGCCTTATCCAAGTGTATGCCGCATGAACACCATTCCTTGTAGGTTTAGGAATTGCAATCCTTCTCCTACTCTTATATCACATGTTCATGTCCCTTTAGGGTTAGGAATCTGCCTTAAACACTTCTTCTAGAAAACCTTATCCTCTCCCTACATGTGTGTCGTACCTAACCTTCTAGAATTCCCTAAATCCTAGCCACACTACCTATTCCATTTCCCATTTGATTTCTGACTTGAATTAACCCTTTTTCAATGGGATTGTGCAATCCTTCTCCTTCATTAAGTGTGCCAAATTAGCCTATATAAACAGCCCTTGCCGCACCATTTAAACACCACCCCCTTCACACAACATTCATTCATTCATTCAGAAATCCATCCTTTGCTGCAACCTTGCAACCAACCTTCCATCATTCCCCTACTTCCAAACCTCCATCCCAACCTCCATACACCACCATCAAACCTTGCCGCACCACCATATCTTCCTAAATCCATCCAAAACCCAGAAAATCATCCATAAAACCACCCTAGACCTTGTGCCGTGACTTAGCAAGGAAGAGGACAAGAAAGACGCAGCCTTGGGCGTTTGTGCATTCGAATTGGAGTGTTGGAACGTTTTTAGGTGTAATCTATCTTTTATTTTCAATGTTTAATTCTATGTTGCTTTGTTTTGTCATGAACATGAGAGGCTAAACTCGTTTTAGCCTAGGGATGCTTTGAAACCATGATTACGTTTATAATATGAGTTGATAAATTCCAGTTGTGATTTCATAAATTGTGAATGCAATTTACTTAACCATTTGACGGATAACTTATTCTTGTATGTTTATTAGGGAGGCCTACTTAATTTGCATGCTTGAACTTGGTACTAGAATATTAGGGTGTTTCACATAATCGTCACAAACTTATATTCACAAGTAGTTAAGGTTGTTTTCACAATCATGTTAAGTAAATTTCTAGCATGAGTATCATGATGCCATAGTTACAAGTGCTTTGTCAATACTTATGATTTCCATTGAACGTAATGATCTTTGATTTTATCTCTATTATGATGTCATGTAGGGGACTTTTGAAGAATGCTTTGGGTTGTCGTATGATGTCATCCAATCCACTAACTTAAGGAAAATCTGAGAGTTAATTAGTGACGTCATGGTTAATCTGGGGTGTTGAGATTCATGGTTTATCGAAAAAGCAACTGGAAATCAATTTATGTTTGAATGTATCATGTGTGGAGAAGTATCCTTTGGCTATCCCATCATCCATTGATCTTTCTTAAATTCGTCCAAAATCTGTTTTAAAGTTTTAAGTTACTTGTTTTCTTTTAAATTCGTCCAAAATCAAAACCCCTTTTCTTACTTGTTCCAAATCTGTCCAAAAGAGTCTTTTTGAGTTTTTAGAGTCAAAACTAATTGTATTTTTGTCCAAAGTAAGTCCTAAAGTCTAAATTGAGTCTTTTTGGTTGTTTTGAGTTGTTTGGAGTCTTTAAAGTTTGTTTTGAGTCATACAAGTTAGTAAGAGTCTTGTGAGTTTATTTAAAGTGTTTTAAAGCATATTTTCACATTTTTGAGTCAATTTTCATTAGATTAGCAATCCCTCCTAATCCCCAGCCTAGAACGATCCCTACTTATATCTATACTACAATTATCAAAAATAGGGTTTAATTTGAGTGCTATCTTTTATCACATCAGTTCTCCAAAGTGATGCCCCCTTCCATAACCTAATGGCTAAATAGCCTTATTTTTACTACTAGAAAATAAAACTAGGAAACATAATAGAATAATATAACTAGAAAATAAAAGGTTTCCTATTTAAACTGAGATTCGGATTTCTCAGAAAATAAGACTTTTGACTGACCAAATCAACTCTGATTTGGTCCCAAAATGTCTCTTTTTAAAGCTTGAAACGTCCCTACGAATCCTCAAAAGGAATCTTCTTCAAAATATGCCATCTTGACCTCCAAAATACCTAAAACGTCCACAAACGTCAATCTAGGAAAGCTATGTTGGACCTTCTTTTCTTCACCACAGTCAAACAGCTTGGTAAAAAAATCTGGAATTTTGATACAATCATCTTGAAAGGCTCACGAACATTCTCCAATTTGAATCACTCCAAAATTCATCCGTTTGATCACATTTTGCTTAAGAGGAAATCAAATGTTGTACATTGAAAATACATAATAGAGTATCAAAATTCTATCAAAATAACCAATAAATTAATACTAAGATTAGGGTAAAATATATAGTATAATATGAACTCATCAACCGTCATCCAGCTCACTTAACCAGGAAATATTACATGCTTCCTAGCCACAGCTGATTAAATAAAGAGATAGACTTTTAGATTTTAGCTCGTAGCTTTTGGCTTTTAGATTTCTATTTAAAACATTAGGTGATGATCGTGATCCTAATAAGAACAAAAAGATGGTCTTATTCAAAAAATTTGAAGAACAAGTTTGGGAAGTTTTTCTTCGGCAAAGGCCTCAACCTTTGACTACGAAGAGGCACTTTTGGATGGAAAAAAATACATAACTACTATTCTACCTAAATGATAAAATCTTTGTCATGCAAGTATGGGAAGGTGTCGGTTCTTCTTTTTTCTTTTTTTTTTTTCTTTTTTTTTTTTCCTTCGTCTGTTCTTGGTATGGACTCTGTGGATTTAACTTCTCCATGAAAAATAGCTTTATAATTGGGACCTACTGGATTTATACCCAAAAGTGTAGGCTACTATAGTACTTTTGGTACATAGATTTTGAAATTGGTATAGCGGGTCGAACACTACTGTACAATGTGGATGCAAAACTTAGACACGCATGGGACATTGGAATCTACCTACTTTGGATTAATCAAATTCAATGGTGGGTGGGTTGCATGTGGGTGTGAGACTTTCTGTTCTATGATTGATTATGATTGTGGATGGACGACCATTTTGAAAGTCAAGGTTCTTTTCTTATCTTGTTTAAAAATATCATTACTAATCCACACGGTGGAGAAAATTTTTATGGGCACCACTAGGTTCTTTTTACAAATCACCGTCAGATACAGAAGTAAAAATAACTGATGGAAATTACCAAAAAAACAAAAAACAATTTTTAATATACACATTAGACCTGTGATTTGTAATCGATAAGAACTAGTTCATAACATATGGATTCGAGTATTTTTCATTTTAAATTATAATATGTGATGTGTCTATCAAACTGTCACATAATATTATTATTTCACGTGTTATAATATACACTACAAAAAAAAAAAAACTAATTATACACGTATAATAAATAAATAACACATAGGACAGCGTGACTATCACTGAAAAATGTCTAACCTTCGAAGTTTCAAAGCCAATTAAGTAGAACGAAGTGCATGATCCTCTCATTATTGACTTGTTTGGTACTAATGTACTTTAAGATTAATGGGTTTATCTTAATAAATTTTGGGTTGGTCGGAAACCAAGCAAATAATAATTCTTGCATATATAAAATGCACAGCCATGATGAAGAGCTGTCCATTTCAACACAACCTAACGAGTAATGCTAGTTAGATTAAATTTTGTAAACTAAATTTATAAATTAAATAATGTGTCATTAATAAAAAAATAAACACGTTAATCAACACTTAAGTAATAGTTCAATCATCAACTTTCATGTCATTTAGTTTACAAAATTTTGTTACGCATTTAATCTTCCTAGCATTACTCTTTGATATATAACATTGTATATCTATACCATCTGTAACATAAATTTTAAAATAATAACGTACATATATCGAGACACTTAAGCAATTTTTCTAGCCAAACTTCTCGTGGGAAGGCAAACTCCCCAACTACGCGTAGGTACTCACAGTCCGAGTCGTCTCAACTCCGAGTCTCCCCAACCTTAAAAAGAAAAAGTTGGGCAGAGAGCACATTTTCATTGAATTGCAGGTTACTTCCATGTCCCTCATCATTTATTTCCACCTGGTTTTCCTCTTTTTCTCTCATCTCATTACTTCTAGCTCATTCTTCCATTTTACTTTAGAGCCACCTTTCTTCCAACCTTCATCTACTCAAAAAACTGAAAAAATATATGGGTTTTCTAGATCTTTGGAAATCTCACTTCTTGTGAGTTTCATGTTCTTTTTTTTTTTTTTTTTTTTTTTGTATTTTTCTTGTATTGGAGGAGTGGTTTTGAACTCAGGACATGAGGTGCGAGGGTGAAATTTTTTATTTTTTAGTTCCTGTATAAGTTTCAAGGTTTAAGAAAAAACCCCATTTATTTTATTGTTCATACCCTCATTTTTTTTCATGGATCTTGGAAGCAAAAGCTATTTGATCCATGTGTCACAAGCTCTTCCTCCATCAACAACTCCAGGAAGCTCCATTTTTGGAACTCCGATTCACCATTCCGACACAAGCTTCCCCATTATAGCAGTTGCCGGAATAGGAATTGTAGCCACAGCTTTCTTGCTCGTCAGCTACTACATCTTTGTTATCAAATGCTGCCTCAACTGGCACCGTGTCGACATCCTCAGGCGATTCTCATTGTCGCGCAATAGGCGGGACGAAGACCAGCTCATGGTCTACTCCCCCCGTGTAGAGACCCGGGGGCTCGACGAAGCAGTGATCAGATCAATCCCATTGTTGCAATTCAAGAAAGATGGAAATTATATAGGATTGGGAGAGGGAAGCTTTTGCGAGTGTGCGGTTTGCTTGAATGAGTTTCAAGAAGACGAGAAGCTTCGAATCATACCGAATTGCAGCCATGTTTTCCACATTGATTGTATTGATGTTTGGCTTCAAAGCAATGCCAATTGCCCACTTTGTAGAACAAGCATTTCAACCACACCCAGATTTCCTTTTGATCGAACTGTCGCTCCAAGCTCTTCGCCCCAAGATCCAAGTCCTTACGCAGGTAGCCTCAGTGGAGGCGATGAAGACTACGTGGTTATTGAATTGAGCAACGACAACACGATGGATCAAGCAATGCTTGGAAGACAAGGAAGATCGAATTCCGGGGAGTTATCACTATCAGTAAGATCTATTAGTCCTTCACCAAGGAAATTGGAACACAGAGTTTTGCCCAAGAAATTTGAGAGAAAATTTCACAACATGATTACAAGCATGGGGGATGAATGCATTGATATCAGAGGGAAAGATGATCAGTTTTCAATCCAACCAATAAGGAGGTCTTTCTCAATGGACTCATCAGCTGATAGGCAGCTTTATTTGGCAGTTCAAGCAGCAATGCAGCAGCAAAGGCAAATCAGTGAGGTCAGTCCCACTGAAGGTTGCAGTAGTGCTAGGGTTAGAAGATCTTTCTTTTCTTTTGGTAATGGTAGGGGATCTAGAAATGCAATTCTGCCTGTTTATTTGGAGCCATAAGACAAATTTTTTGTTTGGACTTTTGCAAGTTTTTAGTGTTTTTGTGAGATAGAAATTTTAGATGTACTATTGGGAGGTTACATGATTTCCTAATGTTACATAGCCACATTCAATTGAAATTTGAAAGCATAGCTTTACTTTACATTCTTTTTCCTTTCTTGTCCCATTGGGGCTTTTTCATATTAATAATACTACGTTAGTTAAAAATTTCACGGCAACATTTCGAAGTGATGCAAAAAAAATTCCCCCTGATCAAAGTGTTGCGGATGACTTAGAAGACATTATTATTGGCATCATTGCTGAATCACCACTTTATATTTTCTAATTTTTTCAAAAGACCTTTTCCCACCTAATTGAATTGAATAATTGGGAGGCTCATTGTTGTTAATAGAGATAGACAGACCAACCTCAAGAATAAAATTATTTTAGTGGAAAGAAAGAGGAATTTAGGATGGAGGAGGCCCCCTTTGTGTAAACCAACAAGCAGAATCCAAAGATTACAAAGCGTGTGAAAAGGGGGAAGGTCCCTTCCATTGATTAAATTGGCAGAGATACATGGGTCCTCTTTATTCAAATTGCAAACTATCATAAGATGAAGTGCCTTCCTGTGTGATGACCAATAATATATGCTAATGCTGGTACAAGGAAGCTATATGCTTTGTTATTATCTTATGTGTATGGTTGGTGTGAGGTTCTTTCCCTGATCATGTCTACAATTTTCCAGTCTGGAAGATTAACCTACTTACCTATAATCTCAATCAAGCACATAGGGTGTTAATATAATTAGGTAGTAAAGTCTACCCTTTTTTTTTTTTTTTCTAGCCACTGGATTAAATAAATGAAAGGAAAATTAATGAACAAGAGTTCTTACACATTAATTTAGTCTTGGATAAGAATCAACAATGCACTAGAACGTCCTCGTTGACGATCCACATTCATGTTTAGTAATGTCTATTGTTTTAGTTTTATTTATCTGATAATCAACAATAATAAAAGATATTTGAAAAGTTAAAAATAGTGTAAAAATTAATCATTTTTTAGTCTGCAAGAAATAATATATACAAGGGTTCATCTACTTAAAAAAAAAAAGTTCATTTGTCCCGAATTACTGTTTTTATTCTCCTTGAGACAGTGCATTTTCTTTTCTTTACATTACAATCAATAGTCGGTAGAGCAGGCAAATCTTCTGTCAAAATCTTGCTTAGTTGGAAATATTCTGCGAGACTGTGGTTAAGACGTCAAAACAGCTTTCATGCCTCATTTTTCACTGGCTTCGAGATATGCTCAAAATTTCCATAACGCAGTACTTTGAGTTGCCACTTCGGATTATACACTGCTGTCTTGACTCTCATAGGAGGAGGAGGAGGAGTCATGTAACAAAGAGTAGCTGTGTGTGATAACATTGACGTGCGGTCAACACTTTGATGAGAGCCATGGTCTATGTGTCAGATGGTTTGGATGTGAGAGTGCTCTTGAACTCCTTGATCAAGGCATGTGGTACGAGGCATGTTTGGGGGACTCTCATTTATATGTTGGATTTCACACTTTTGTTATCTATATTGCAAATGTTTATCACGAATAGTCTTTAAAATTGAGGCATCATCAAAATGGTCTCTGAAATTAAAAATCAATCAATGTAATCCCTAAAAATAAAAAATTAATATAGTCATTGCATCACAATTCTATAAAAAATTCCGTTATATGTTGATGTGACACATAAATGAGTTCCACAAGTTTTTCTTTATCACAAATGGTCCCTGAATTGATCCACACTATCAAGATAGTCTCTGAAATTGAAAAGTGATAAATGTAATCCTAGAATAGATGTTTCCAACCAATGTGGTCCTTCCATTGTAATACTGTAAAAAAAATTTGCTATATGCTAATGTGGCTCATAAATATTATTTGTTGAAGCAAATTGAACTAGCATGAGCATGACATGACTAACATAGACACAAAACAAATAATGTCGACCAGGAGAGACTTTTTCAGTGTTTATGTTCGATATACCACGTGTCATAATATAAATGAAGAAGAGTTTTTTTTTTTTTTTTTTTTTCCTAGTGTCCTTGAGGGGTGCAAGTTGGATTGAAAATTCCAATCCGAACCAAAAATTTTTATTCCAAGTCTGAACATTTCCTATTGAAAAATTCTGAAAATTTTGGATGGCAACTGGAATGTACCTATCTGATCCGAAATTCAGAAATTCAGTTCTAAAATTTCTCAAACTTGGTACTATAAACGAAACCATGCGTATTCTTATTTTATCACATTTATTATTATATTTAGATATGCTTATTTCATATTTTGTTTATTTAATCATACTATTAAAAATGAAGAGTATAGTCATGCTAACTATTTTAACTTGTCTAATATGATTTATGTCATACGCACACGTAAGGCCTTCCACAGTGATTTAAGCAAGTGTGATACCATATCTAGGAATCAGACGCCCCGAGTTTGATTTCTATAACATTACTACTACACTAGTGTAAGTTCAATGTATTGGTACCACACTCATGAGTTTGATATAGTGAACTTATGAGTTCAAAATTTTCAGCTCACTTAGAAGTGTGATTCCTTGATGAGTTCAATATATTGGTAATGACACTCACTTTTTCCGCCTTACTATCTTGTGGAAAGCCTAACAAGCAACAACGTACAAATATTGCAGAAATTTAGAATAAATATTAAATAGTGGATACATAAAAGTTTAAAAATTTTCAAAGTCTTGCAAAATTGAGGAGATTTGAATTATGTCATGAAATTCCGAGATAAAATTGATTCCGAATTTCCAATAAATTTTGGTAATCTAATATTCCAATATTGGAACAAATATTTGATTCCGAAACTTTTTTAGATTGGCATTGGAATGCTTATTCCCATCCAACCTAATCGAAAGTCACCCCTGTATCTCTCCACTTGTATCTTAAAATATGGTGTACCCCATATTTTGGGTACACTAAAAAATTTCTCGTCAACCATTATGATAAAATTAAGGAAACATTTTGGCTCGCCACTACTCTTAAAACATGACGTGCTAAAAAAATAGCAATTTTCAAAAAGATGATGTTATCCACACACTCATTTGTACCTAACACACTCCTTGTTATTCACACACTCATCTGTACCTAACACACTCCTTGTTAATTTTTGGTATTGATCTTCTTCAATTCATTTGATTCGACATCTAAACATTAAGAGAGTATGTAAGAAGTAAAAATGAGTGTGTGAATAACACTACCATTTTCAAAATTTCCTATTGGCAAGTGGTTTTCCACTTGTCATCAAATTGTGAAAAAGAAGAGAAAAGAAATAAGGTAAATTACGTAAAACTACCTCAACTATGGGTCAAACTACAATCGCATACCTTATGTTATTCCTAAACCGTGAAAAATATTAATATTAATAAAAAAATAATTTTTTTATTTTTAATTCGGGGCTTGAGACTAGGGATGGGCAACGATTACGACGGACGGGTAACTGCGGTTATTTATCCATAACCATTTATTCTCATACCCGCGTAACCGTTTACCCGTTGGGTAATTGCCTAAACGGTTATAACCATACCCATAACCGTTTATAAACGGCGTACCATACCCATAACCGCATACCCATTTAACCGTTACCGTTTAGTACCCGTTTACCCATTTATCTTTTTTTGACCCGTTTATCCTTTCTTTTTTACCATTTGCTCATTTTTCACCTGTCTACATGTTTTTTTAACAACTTGAAAATTAAAAAAGAAAAATTTGTCATAATTTTATTGTTTTAACAATTAAACACCGTTATAGGTATATTCATCATATATTTCCATATTTTAATTTTTTAAGTCCCTATACCATTCTAATAATTGAAATAATAGTTTGCTAATGATATTTTTAACGGTTATCAATGAAGGTAATATAAAATTTGCTATATATATATATATATATATAATGGACCATGAAATTTGAAGTGGTTAAGGAAAACTATATTATATTAGCTACAGAAACCATGCATTTTAGTCAATAGCATTGATCTAAGTTTTGTCCAATAGGGAACATGATTTGTGTTAATTTTACATATAAAATAAACGGGTAAATGGTTACCCGTTTAGAACCGCAGTTAATACTCATAACCACCCATTTAAATTTCATGGGTAAACAGTTATACCCATAACTTTTTATTTATCTAAACGGTTACCTGTAATTGTAACCGTGAAATTTAAATGGATGAGTAACCGCGGTTACTCATAATTGATGGGGTATTTGTCCATCCCTACTTGAGACTGCTGGAGAAGGGTGCTCGCTTGTCGAGAAGCAAAACTTGACGCTGATGACGAGATCCCGCCATTGGAAGCAGTATAGAACCCTAAATTGAAGTGAAGCGAGGAGAGAGAAGAGAAGTGTGGAGAGGGAAAGAGGGAGAAAGGGAGGAGTCTCCCCAATGTCGTTTGTGAGAAAAAAACACAACCTAGATACAAACCCTACATTGAAGTAATTTTTGAAAAATCGAGTAAATCAAAGAGTTAAATGAGAAGGTGGACTTTGGGACTGGAGGGTTTCTGGTGCGAAGGCATTTAAATCCTACTGGTGGATCGTAATCTCACTCTCACAGGTCATCCCTAGCAACTCCATCTTCGTTCACATGAACTCATCTGGTCAGCCGCCAGCTGAGCACATGAACCCGAACCACCTTCATTCTTCCGTTGATTTCGCCGCCGCCAATTGGGTCTCTCTTGTTTCTGATTCCCCACAACTTTGCTATTCTGAATCGTGATTCACAATCCTCTGAATTCAATCGCCGACGTTGGCAATGATGAGCTTGGTCCCGAGATCCGTGGGCGGAAGGCAACTCGTGGAGCTTGCCTATGCAACTCGAGAAGCTTGTACCTCTTCACCTCAAGCAGTCTTAAGGCCCACAAATAAAAAAATTATTTTTTCAATTTTTTTTTTAACAATTTTCAGTTTTTCATTTATATTAATATTTTTTTGGGTTTAAGAATATTAGTATTAATAAATTAAGAATCTTTTATCAATATTTTAATTCAGCTGAGCAAGAATGGACTCATTCTTACCACATCATTATTTAATAGTCAAATTAACAAAAAATTTAATGAAGATCTAACATTACAACGAATTAATAAATTGAAGTATGTCA